CTTATCGGTATCAAAACACAAAAGATTTTTTTAAAAAAAGCTCTCAAATCATCAAATTCAAAGGCAGCAGAATTTTTTTAACTTTAAGGTTTGGGTGCGGGGAGAGGGAAGGATGGAAGGATGATACTCGTTCCTTATTGTCTTTCCATAACTTGTTTATGTATGTGTGTGTGTGTGTGTGTGTATGTATATATATATACATAATAAGTTAAATATATATATATATATTCTAATTCTAATAGAATTATTCTAATAATCGCTCTGTCTCCCCCTAAAAAAATCCATACCTTTGAGCTTTCCGGTATAATTTTCTAATTAACTCATCCTAGGTAAGATTCCAAAGACAAATGAGGACTCAGCAACTGAGCAAACAATCCTAAAAAGATTTTCATGTTTGTGTTTTTAGCATTTCAGGAATTGAAACACTATTTACGAGACATCTCCTGTCCTGAGTAGCAAGAGATGAAAACAAGAAAAAGTTGCCTGACCTATGAAGGCAAATATTATTAACAAGTCTTAAGAGGCTCACAAATACAGGATCCTAATAGTTTTTAAATGTTAGGTTAAGAGAACAGAAAAGGAATTTCGATGATAAGGGGGATCAGGAAACTGATCTGTCTAAACCAAAAAGCTTTACCTGCAGTCACTAGGCAAGAAGGAACTCATACTATTTAATCCCAAACTTTTACATATGAATATCCCAAGTAGATACCAAATTTATTAATACTTAAATAATCCAAGTGACTCAAAATTTATCACTAGAAGAGGTCTATTCCCCTTGTTGGCTACTTTTAAGAGTTATTTATTAGAGATTTATTTTTGAGTTAATTATTAAAGACTTCTTTACACTAATCCTAAAATCTGTCTGTAAAGTCTTTTCCATGGAGCCACACAAAACAAGCTGAAACTACATGAAAGTATCATATTCTTCCTCTGTTCAATCTAAAACATCCTAACAATCTGTATACCCCTAGATTCCTCCAAATCCAACAGTACAACATAGGAATGTATGTGTGCATGAATATACACATCATTTGATGAGTCAAACTATTTCTAAGATGTTCTTAAATGCATATTTATAAGATTCCTTTTTTAAAAATTTAAATTATCTTTATCTCAAAGTTTATTTAAAATGTGATTCCCAGGTCTCTAGGTGAATTCAGTAATAGGGGCTCTCAAATTATTTCTAATTCAAACACCTAACAATTTTACTCCACCCACAGTAAACTACGGGGCCATATACACCTTTACAGAAGCTGTACAACTATATTATTTTGCCTAATAGTCTCACTGCTAAGAATTCTTCTTAAAGAAAAATTTAACTTAAAAAAAAATTTAAACATGAATAAAATACTATCTATACACAAAGGTATTCAAAGAATTTTATCTATTCCAGAAAAAAAAAAAACAGGTAACACCAAAGTACCCAAAAGTGGTGGAAAGAAAAATGGGGGAAATTACACCTATTAAAACCTATTTCGAACCCTAGATAAAGATAAGAGTGTTTGGTGCATTAAGGAACCAAGAGATCACAAACTATTCTAGGCTACAACCGTAATTATAGGTAATATGTAAAAGGCTGGTGGTTTTGTGGGTGATTTTTTTTCTCTTCAAATTTTTCTCTGGCATTATGGTTGCATAATTTTTAGACTAAAAATGGAAAACATAAAGCTATTTCCAAATCATCTAGCCTTAACATCTAAAAAGAGAATAAGATTCCCCTCCCCCCTGTGGAGAAGCATGCTGCTGAACTTAACTTAGAAGTGCCATTAATTAAATCACCCATGGTTAAGATTGCTAAAATAGAAATACTGAGTCTATTTAAATGGTCAGAAAGCTTGCTAAGACTAAAACATGCATTTCTAAAACACAAGATGCTACTTTGCTGATTCATTGAGGGATTTCATGTTATGTTTTTGATTACATAAGCCACCCCCACCCCTCCATATTTCAGAAACTTAAAACAGCTAATTTTGCCTGATTAAGCTTCTGAAACCAGGGACTAGTGGGCAAAGGCTAGGCTATCCAATTTTAATGAAATAAAGTATCCATACGTGCCAAGCATCAAATATTTGAAGAGAGTTCAACCCAGAAACACCAAAAGCAAATTCTGAATGAAAAGTACAGACAAAATTTACAATCTTCAGGAAAAGTAGAGATGCATAGGAAAAACCCATAAACTGAAATATGAATATCACAGGCTTATGTGTGAATTAGGGATGGTAAAATAATGCTTGCTGGGTTCAGTTTCTAGATGGTCCTCAGGAGCTCATCTAGCAGTTACTATCCTTTGTCCTGCGGCAGAGAGCTGCCCACACATACACTTCAGTTAACAATTTATTAGGGAAACAGTAAAGTCTAGAAGGCTTCAAATTCAATTCCTGAATAATGTAAACCACAGTTCAATCTCAGAACTGTCAAAAAGGAGTGAAGATAGTAGTCCATCAGATATCCCCATCACTTAGAAATATGGTTAGAAATATCGTCAATCTCCTATAGCAACCAGGAAATTGGATAGTTTTTTTTTTTATAGGACTGGGCTTAGGAAAAAAACTGCAATATACCAATTTAGACAGAGCAAAAATACTACAGTAGAAAAAGTTCCCTCCTCCCCCACTATACACACCAAATGTTTATTACTCATTTCTTCTTAATGGGGGTTGGAGGACAAGAGATGATGGAGGGATGAATACTCAGCAAAAGAGTAAAGAATTAGAGAAAAACAAAAACAAAGATATCTAAAGGGAATGTGTAGACCAAGGGAGGGTGTCAGGCATTAATAGTAAAAAAAAAAAACCCAAAACACCAGAACTGACAAGAAACTGGGGCCTAATACCACCTAATCACATTTTCTCCTTAAAAGAAAGTCCAAATAAAAGTCAAGTTACAATCAAAAGGCAAGTAAATCCTCAAAATGAGGGTCCTCAATGATTACAAATTTCAATCATGATACCTCAGGCTTCACTGTAGGGACATAACTACCAATTAAGTTGAACATTAGTGTTGGCTGATTGGGGAACCCTCCCAAGTGATATCAAGGTTAAGTGACTTATTCTTGCTCTCCTGTACTCTTTCTTTCAACCTTCACGCTGACCATAGCCCTCATACAGTCTTTGTTCAGGCTGGCCATAATAAAATTGTTTCAGTTTTAGTTTTCTTACATAAAATAATTTCATGCCCTCTACCCTAACTCCCTGATTCAAATAAACTTGACTACACTGGGCCATCTCTTCCACGGGCACCTATTATTACAACTAGTTTTATTCAGACACTAACCCTAGGTGAAATTCAAAGTGCATCATGGATCAATTTCCTAAACAGTGATATTAAGTAGTGAAATCATCTCCTTTCAGAAAGTTTTATGAAATTAAATAAGACTCAAATGATGAACAAATGTAGAAGCACATTACTTTAGATTACCCTCTCTGAGGGACTGAATAACAGTTTCCACTGCAGTCTAGAGTAATGAAGACAGGACCACTGTATAACACCAACATCTGTAGAGAATTATAAAACCAAACCCAGAGCTCCTTTAAGAAATCTGTTAGAGTGAATGGCAAAAATCATGAGACTTTGTCTATTTTGAAGAGCTCCAGATATATTCTACAGCCGTCCTCTATAGCACACTGAAGCAATTCTTATACCCAGATGGTTAAGATTTTCTTATAATCAAGATCTCTCCTAGTTAAGCCCTTTCAAGGTGAAATAGGTTCAAACAAATTAAACACTTAATCCAAATTTGAATCCTTTAAGTAACTTTTCATCCAAAACCACTGCCTCACAGTAAATAGGAAAAAAAAAAAGTCATAGGTTCTCTCTAGCTCTTTTTGTTGCTACAGTAATCTTAATTGATATTGGTGTAATTTCCCAATTTCGTGTAAATTCCCAAATAAATTTTTAAAAAAGTATTTAAAATATACTATACATCAAATTAAAAAATGAGAAAACATGTACAAAAATCTGTAATTTTTTACAGCAAAATATTTCATGTGTGAAAGCTTAAACTTCTCTTAAATTTATCCATAACAAAAGGACAATCTAACTTAACAGCTTGATTTAATCAAACTTGAATCTAACTTCAGTCCTTCTATAGATTTTTATCTCTAGAAAATAAGAAAATTGATCCATTGAGTAATTAGCAAAACTATACAGTCTCTTTTCCGGTTTATAAACAAGGCAAAATAACCATACAACCCAGAACTTTAAAGTTTCCCATGTTAATGCTAGACATATTATATTTTCAGAAAATGCATGTTTTCTACATTGCGTTAAGAAAAATCCTTAAAACTGAAGTTCTTAATTACATGAGGCAAATTATATATCTTGTTGACAACTCTATTCCATTAATAATGTATAGCTAAGAGACACTAAATATATATCCACTTAATTTGGAAAGGGTTCCCCCTCTTTCATCTAGTTCTTATTTTGTAGGTCTCAGCTGTTAACTTTTACCAGAGGCCTTCCCCAAATCCAGATTATATGCCCTTGTCACATACTCCTGATGGGACTTTCTACAAAGCATTTAAATACACTGTATTGTAACTGTCTAGCAGTGACAAGCACAAGTAGGTGCTCCAATATTTGTCGAGTGGAGAGGTCAAAAGTAAAATTGTCAGAATAGCCTCAAAGTGGTAGAGAAGTTAACGCTTCAGATTAGGCTATAAATAAGGGGTGGGAGTGGGGCAGAGGCCTAATAGTCATGGATGCGAAAACCCCACGGATAAGTACACTCCTTTGTGAAGGAGAAAGGCTTTGCAAAGGCTTCTCAAAGTAGTAAGACCCCCAATTGGACAGTAAGACTAACTGTATGCTGTGACTCACACCGATCCATTCACTTTTATAATGACATATATGATGGTTTAAAAATTAGATGAGTCAATTTAAGAAAAAGGGTACATATTTTATTTTACTTAAAAGAAAGATTCACATCAGTCAAGGGTCACTTAAAGCAACATAAGTAAATAAATAGATAGATAAATCACAAACTGGATAAATCTCACCTGTCATGGGGTCAAAGAGCTGATTAGCTTCTAAGTCTGTGAAAGTACTACTACAGACAGGACATTTGAAGGAAGCCCGGTTGGTGGAATCTCTCTCATCGGTCTCAATCCTCCTCCTCATGTGATCCAATTTATATTTTACCACATTAACAAGAGTCCGATAATTGATAAAATAGTAGTTATGACGAGTGGTTTTCCCATCAGCAGCAGTCTCTACCCTCATTCTGCATTTGATAAACTTGTCTCCCTTTAAATTATTCAAAACTGATCGAAGTTGTTTCCGATCAAACTTGAGCAGCTCCAGCATATCCTCTTCTTTCACACAGGGGTTCCGGATCAAGATGTCCAAGGCCAAGGCATGCTCAATGCCATAAAATCCCCGGATCACATACTTGGCTAACCTCTTCAATGCTGCAGGAACCTCGGTGAGGACATCTGGGTCTGCCATCTTTAGCAGCAAATTCCAACTTTAAATATACTGAATTCAGGAAAAAAGAGAAAATCAGCCAGGCATAAGGACATGGCAACCATTTTAAATCTAGAATAATCAAACTGTTACTGGTAGCTGATAGCTACCACTATTCTTAGAGTGCCACAAAGGTACTCAAACATTGTTTTAAAAGACTTCTAATAATACCTAAGCATTTAAGAGAACAAAATGTTTCAGAGTACACAAAAGATACCTAAAAACCCTGACACATTTCTCAAATGGTTACTTTCATAATCTATGTTGAGTTTGATTCTAGAAGGTGACTTCTTATTTAAAAAATGATATATTGTCAAGTCCACTTTCAGAAAAGCAACACAAAAGCTAAATCAAGTGATCACTATTCTTAATGATATAGATCTTTGCAAATGCTGAAACTGAGAAACCTAGCAGTTGGAATATCCTTAAAGTGTTTTTCTTTTCTTGAGTAAAATTTTTCTAGCAAAATTCTAGGATGTTTTCATAGTCGTACTTCACAATAAAAATCACAACAAACCAATAAACACATTAAGTAATCACCAGTTGACATATCTGACAAATTCATTAACTGTTCTATTAACAAATCTGAAAGAAATTAAGATTAGATCCAGACAGCTTTACAAACCTTGAAAAGTTAAATCTAGCAATTAAGTAAAGGCCATTCAATCCTTAAAAAGGAAGGAAGGGGTGGGGGAAGGGAGGGAGGACAGCCCAAGATATCCTTAAATATTGGATCCCTTGTAGGACAAAACAGAAGCCATGCCATGGCCCAGAAAGCTGTTTTCTCAAAGCTCATACTGGTAAGTGGTTTAGTTAAAAAACCTGGCCTTTGGAATTCAGAGTTAGACTATATTTTGGTAACTGTGTGATCCTGCACAAATCTCTTACTTAAAACAAGCCACACTTTACTCTCTGAGAAATAAAGATAATATCAACTACATCAATGGGATTGTTGTGATTAATAAACAAGAACAAAATTAAAGAGTTTAGAAAGCTGTCGTTTACAAGGACAGCTTTTATATTGATTTAATATGTTCCCAACTAAGAATGGCTAGGCTATCCACGCAGACTACATCAAGTTAAATTTCCCTATTTCATGGGGAAATTTTTAACAGAGGTCGCATTGAAGTTTTTCCATGGGAAATCATAATGTTATTAACAGTAGTTTTAACTGATCCTTTTATTTGAAGTCAGTGGTTACCAATCCTATCAGATTTAATGCTTCCATTTATAAGAAACATTTTGATATCCACAGAACTATACTATAAATAAATTCCTAAATAACCAATTAATATACATATTTTGGGGAAAAAATATAAAGCCCTACCTACAATAAAGGGAAAGTAAAAGGAAAGTCAGTTATAATAAAATATATAATTTAGATTATAAATACGTGGGCATGATTATACAAAAGATATAACAAAGTAGCTCCTAGATCCAAACCTGTGGTCCTAGAGCTTTCCTATCACTCCAGGGCTTAAGGATGCCAGGCAAGTGCCTGGGTTCAACACCAAAGTAGTACCACAGCATATTACTGGACACATTTGCTCTCCTTTCCAATTTGGTCTATACATTGTACTTAAACCCAGTTTTGGATTTTGTTTTATATGCTCAAAAGTTAGCAGAACACAACTTATGGCTTCAGAAACCATTCTTTGGTCTGTAGACCATATGTCAAGCATAACCTATTTTTCCAGTCTTATTTCCTACTATTGTATTCTCCTACCTCACAACCTCTGTCTTATACACTCTATGCTCCAGATTAACGGTTCTCAACCCTGGCTATAAAGCAGAATCAATCATCTAGGGAGAATCTTCAGAATATCAACCCTGGGCCCCCATTCCTGTTTTGTTTCAGCTGGTCCAGCAGGGCTAAATTAGGCATCACACTAATTTTAAAAGCTCTTTAGGTGACTCCAATATGCAGCAAAAGTCCCTCCCCACTGCTCCAAACTGGGTCCTTGGCTACTGCGTATCCTGCCAACGCCCATCTGCATGGACAGGTCCTTGTGCCACTTACCACTCAGCCTGTTTCTTTTGCCTGAAACATCTTAGGAAGCCCTGAAGATTAGAACAAGGGAGTGACATGAGGACTCTGTAATCCAACAGTTCTGGGTTTTGAATCCCAGTTCCACTATTTCTTAGCCAGTGATCCCAGAAAATTCTCAGCATCGGTTTCTTCATTTATAAAAAGCAATTACCAGTGCCTTACTCAATGCCACACACCGAGTTGATGTGTGGACTGAATGAGAAAATTCATGCAAAGTGCTCTGACATAAGAGGTCAGGTAAGTACTGGCATTCACAGTAAGATCTCCTATTTAGAAAAGTGACTCTTACAGCAATATGAGGAACTGAGAGTATGTCAGTGTGGCTGGATATGAGGCTGACATGGTAGACAGAAGGTAGAGAGTGCATTCTTTTCAACTTTGTTTCTTCTGCTCCATGCCTGGTGCCTGGTAGTCCTTAAAACTTTGTATGATTACAATATATGTGGAGCTAGATAAGAAGCTAGGTAAGGCTGGGAGATGGACTATGTCAATAAAAAGAAAATACAAGGGCCCTGAGAAGTCACACTCAGAAGTCTCTGAAGACCAGCCAAGGTAGAGGCACTGTGGAAGTATAGAAGCTCTAGTAAAAAACTAAGAGAGCAAAAAATTGCAAGAAAACAAGATGAATGAAACTTATTACAGAAACAAAAGGGCTCAACAATATTTTCGAAATAGAGTATTAGAGTAGGAAAAATCTTAAATAGCCCTTTTTTTGAGCCAGTGTAACCAGGAAAAGTTCTACTATGAGAAATACTTAACACCTGAAGAGAAACAAGTTTGGAAGAAATGAGGCATTCACTTTTAGATACTTGTCTTTGAGGAAATACCATAGGCTATTCCTCTGAAGATACCCAGCAGATAGCTGAACAAATGAAACTGGAGCTCATGAATGAAATCAAGCTGTGCCACCCTGCTCAAAATCTCCATGTTCTGAAATCCTCCTTCCTGACCACTGCCTTCTCTCCTCCACCACTTCCCCTTTCACACTCATGATGAATCTCCTGCATAATTCAATCTCTGGATTTCTTAAATTACTAAGGTCAGAGGTCTCAAACTGGTGGCCCACACACATTGTTTCACCCAGAGAATGAAAATTTCCTAATTAGCCACCAACATTTAAAAATCTTGACAGTTCACATAAATTTCAACTTTCAGTTTCTCTTAAAAATTGGAAATATCTGAGAAAAAGAAGTGAGCCCATGTTCCCACATGGAAACAATAAGATGAAGCTGAATAGCAGCTGACACTGTTAGGGAAGAAGCTTGGCCAGTCTCTGTAGACTTGAGCATGTAACTTCTCAGGGCCCTTGTTTCTTCTTTTTCTACACAGTTCACCAGTCATCTCCCAGCCTTACCTACCTCCCTACACAGTCGAGACCCACATGTATTCTAATCATACAAACATTTAAAGACTACTGTGCACCAGGCATGGAGCAGGAGAAACAAAGTTGAAGAGAATGCATTCTGCTTTGTCTACCCACGTCAGCCTCATATCCAGCCACACTGGCACCTCTCAATTCCATGAGCCTACTTCCAGGTCTTTGCACATGCTGTTCCCTCTGCCCAAACCCCCTTCACCTAATCATCCTTCAAGTCTCAAATGACATTTCCTCATAGAGGCCCTCCCAGATACACCACGGTAGTCTAGAATGATCCCCTCCACATGTTCCTCATAGCTCTTTCCCCTTGTACTTTCTCCATGTCTATCTAAGATCAGGGACTTCATCTTGTTCACCAATGGATTTCCCGCATCTAGGCACAGCTAGGCAAGTACTTCCATAAAGTTTCAATACATCTCCTAGGCACGTGTTTTTCCAACATGGCCCATCTTGTCAAGTTCCCCCCAGTTCACCTCCTCCACTCCTGCTTTCACAACGGAAAAGGACAAGCTATTGGACTCTCTCTTCTTAAACTTAAAATGCTTCTCAGCAGGTGACTGGGTCAAGTTCGCGATGTTAAAATTCAAAGATTATGCTGACTGTAGGGTGGAGAATAAAAGCAGAAAAGGAGTGGATGCGGGAAATTCTGTCCGGTATAACACTATTACGGTTCTGGTTCTAGAAGAACTTGAATTCTATACATGTAACTGAGGGTTTTCAGTTACCATATTTCATGACACTTTCCACGCCTTCATACATATAGCTGCAGGCTACCGCCAAATCTCCGGACCCAGCTGTCCTCCGCGAGCCGCGTTCAGTAATGTTCACTCCTCCCCATTGCCTGCGAGACCCCAAAGTCCCTCGGACTCTCCCAGTTGGGTCCGGGGCCATACTCGGCGCAGCCAAGCCCGTCCTACCAGAGGTCGTACACTGGCCGCTCCCGGGTCAATGGTTCTTTGGAGGACCAAGGCAAGAAGGTAACTAACGAGGACAGGATAGTTAAGGAGAGGGGAGCGAAAAGGAGGAGAAACCATGAAATGCGACGCCAAGCCAGGAAACTGGGAACAAGGAACAGGGAACAAGGTTTACCGAAACGAATCTTCGAATACTCCCACTACAGCTTCCCTCAGCGATTCAACTACCGGCTTAAAAGAGTCACGCCACTTGTGCGACAAAGAAAACGCCTTATTCCTGCGACCAGCTTTGGAAACCACCCGCTAACTTTAACCAGACCAGCCAATCAGTACAGTGAAGCCTTCAATCAAGACAGTCACGCTCCTACCGGCCAATGAAACTGAAGGCCCTGCCCTCCATGCCCAGCTCTGATTGGCCTAGAATCCCGGAACAGGCGTTAACCCCGGGAAGGCAGTGGCAAGATGGCTTCCTTGGATCGGGTGAAGGTACTGGTATTAGGAGATTCAGGTGAGCAGTTTAACCCACCTCTGGGTCTCCCGACACTTTTGAGTTATCTAATAACCCTCTGCCTTCACTACTTTCCTCCCAACTTTCTGGCTTTTCGGCCTGTGGACGAAGTACCTCCCAAGGGCTAAAAACTACACTTCCCAGAGGACTTTGCTCCATTTGACGAAGTGGCAGCGTAGCGCGGTAGGGGGCTCCGAACCTCAGCTCTTCCTTTTCGCGGCTTTCTAAGCTGGTCTCCTGGCTACTCCAGTTTAGGGCGCATTGTCGGTTCCTTTGCTTTAAAAAAATAATTGCAGGCATTGAGCATTGTATTTGGTGCAGTGCTAAGGGTATAAAAGTTAGAAGGGTCCTAACTTCAGGTGATTTTGTTCATTAAGTGAAACGTGCACTGAGAAGAATGACGCTGGCAGGCGCTTTGCATATATTAACTCAATTCTGAGATCAGTCATATTATCCCATTTTACAGATGAGAAAAGTGAGCCTGAGATGTAAATGACAATTAGTTTGAATCCAGAGGCCACGTATTTAGGCACTAAGCTATATTATGCACTGATATGCTGGGTGTTGGCCCTGTTTTAATTGGGCTTCCTGATTTTCTTGTTCTCATTTGACCTTACCTGCAAACCTATGTGCTAGATTGTAGGAAATAGACAAATTAAGAGTCACAGTCTGAAGCAGCTAGGACTTAATGCAGAGTGTAATTTAATCCTATTGTCAAAATCCCTTTGTTTTTGATCACCTGTGACATTTGAGAACTGCAGTTCGAGTATGCCTTTTCACCACTGACCTGGCTACTCTTCTCTTTTGCACCATAACCTCCATTCCAGCTCTCCTTAAGAACTTGAATAAATGCTTACCTTGCATTTTATAGATGTGCTTTTCTGGAGTTGACCTTTGAGCATGTGCTGTGAGCAATGATACTGTGCTAGAGATACTTGGAGGTGGAGAGGACATATCTCAAAGAGCTTGAAAACTAACCTAACAGGAACTATATAAAACTGGGGAAAGGGAGGTTAAGAATGTTTTCACATTGCTTTTCACATTACGGAGAGCATTATTTAATATTCTCCTAAGAAAGTTGCCTTATGAAATTCTATGAACATAATTGCAATTTGTGTGAACGTCATTTTTTCCATCATATAACATGAAGTGATGCTGAAGTCAGTTTAACAAACTCACTCACTTTTAGTGATGAAGAAGGTACTGGTGTCCTAAAGGGACTTGGCAAGTATCACCAAGTAGGATTTAAGACTGGACTCCAGAACTAACACAGTTCTTCGTGATATGTTAAATAGGTGTTCCCTCTCCTCTATAATTTCCTTTTCTATTGCATCTAACAATCCCTTCATGTTAACAAACTGTTGGAACTAGTCAATTCATATTTTTCCCCTAACAGGCACTGTATTAGGTGCTGGGGTTATAACTGTGGAATCAATGTATTACATAACGGGTAGAATTGGCTGTTGCAATAAATGTGGAAAAGTAACCAGGCAATTAGAATGCTTTCTTTTTTCCCATTGTGTTTGTCTGTAAAACAGACACAGCTGTGCTCTACAGAAATGTGATTGATTTTGTCACACATGCAGTAATGTTAGGCTCTTTGTGCAAAGTCAATTATCGTCTTTTTATCAGTTTCCTTTTAACAGCGAGTTAAAAGACTGAGCAATTTAATATAGTTTTTATACTTCATGTGCCTTTGCATTCAAACTTCAAAGTTTATTTTTGAAGAAAGACCATTTCCCTCTTGGAATTTTGAGGGTTTCACAAATACATAAAGGAGTGACTTGAGATTTAGAGGTTTGTGTTTGTATCCTGTAGAGATATTTGGTAATTTAGTAAGGAATCCTGAAGGTCTCACTAACATACTCTTTTCTCTTTGTTCTTTGAGAGATTAGAGATGAGCTTAACACATTACCAACAACTATATTTGAAGCTGGCATTTAATTATATTGGACCATTTTTTTCCCCAAACAAATCAAGTGCATTCTTTTGATCTAATTTAGTTCTAAAGGTAAATACATAGAATTCAATCTCCCAGAAATCTTAAAGAAATGAATAGTTAGCCACTATTCCCTAGCACTTTGACTGTTCTTACGATTTATAGTTGTATCCAGTGTTATCACCCACAGCAGTTAATTCATGGAGAGCTATATGGTATTGCTGCATATTACCATGATGCAATTAAACTAAACTAGGGCTTAAGGCTTGCATCAGGCTGGTGACTAAATGCCTAGTTATGGGCCTCCAACATAAACCTACATGCAAACACAATATCAACAATATACCCTAAAGGTTACAGATAAAAGATGCAATCCAGTAAATTCAATGACAAATATAATCTTAAATGTATGTAAAAAAAAAAAAGAAAGAAAGAAAGGGGAAACAGGAAAATGTTTGATTCAGTTCTATGATTGCATGAGACAATTAATATTTTTAATGTATAAAGAGATCATATAAATCGATAACATTAAAACCCAGTAGGTAAGTGGGCAGAGCACATCAACAGAATTTAGAAGAAAGACAACTGATTTTCAAAGATAATCATAATGTATATCTTCACTAGAAAGTAAAGAAATGCAAACTAAAGCAAGATGCAGACTAAAGCACTTTTTTCTCTTATCAAATTAACCAGGATGAAAAACCAATTCTGTGATGCTGTTGAGGTCCAACAACAGCCATGTACATGAGGTGTAGGTTCATGTGTATGGCTGGTGGCAGTGTAACCAAATGAAAGTTATTTGTCAATATGTATCAAGAACTTTAAATATTTGTTTCCTTTTAGGAATTGAGTTTACTTCTGGGGAGGTATAAAGGAAATAATTATAATTCTATATTCTAGAACAAACTATTATAAGCAAAGATTTATGTTGTTTTATTGTTTTTAAGTATATCGTGTGTATAATCACAATAACCACCTGCTTATAGAAAACCCCTTCTTACAGAATTAAAAAACTTACGTGTTGATAATAGTGGTCATTGGTAATTTTTTTATACTTTCTAGATTATAAATATAACTTTTTATAATAAAATAGAAACATAAGTGATAGGTTCATACACAGTAATGCACACGAAGAGATAATGTAAATTTTTGCTACAACTAGTGATTCATAAAAATTCACCAACTGTGCTTGTCATAATGGAATCCCAAAATGCTGTTAAGTGAATGAGTGATTCCACACATGGATGTATAGGGAGAGGTCATTCTCTGATCTCCTCATACAGATCTCTGAATGCTACCCTTAGCATTAATAATTTGATTGCCCTGAGCCTAAAAGAAGCTAAAGTGCTGCCTTAAAGTAAAGGGCCATAATGTAGAACAGGGAGTAAAGTTGTTCTTTTTTTCCAAAGAATAGTCTGGGCCAAAAGTTTGGCTGCTTTTTAAAAAAATCACTATGTGGGAGAATTTGGAGTGTCTAAATATGAAATTGTGAAATGGGGAGTCCCTGTCACTGACAGTGTTCACAATCTGGAAGCCTCTCTAGCAGGGTGCCACGGAAGGGACCTTGACATTAGCGTGTGGGATAGAGGGATTACGTCTAAGATCTGTTAAGATTCTGCATTTCTAAAATAGGCTAAACAGATGAAATCATTCAAAAGGAAAGGGATTAGTTAATATGGAATTGTCTTAGAACAGTGGTTCTTACTCTCTAAGGTGATTCCTTAGACTTGTAGCATCAGTATTACCTGGGAGTGTGTTAGAGGTACAGAATCTTGGGCTCTGTGACAGACGTGCTTAATCAGAAAGTCTGAGGTCAGGACCCAGCAGTCTGTGTTGTAACACATCCTCCAGGTGATTCTGATGCTAAATTTGAGAGAAACACTGCCCTATACTATCTTCACTTTATTCACTAAAGCTTATATCGTTGGCATTGTGTGAATAATCATGCTTTAAACAATCATGCTTTACATATCATTATTCCTTTGTATTATCAGCCTTACTTTGGCCATAATAGATTTCAGCATGTATCTTATGTGACTAGAGTTCCTATATCTTTTACAGGTGTTGGGAAATCATCATTAGTCCATCTTCTATGCCAGAATCAGGTGCTGGAAAATCCATCATGGACTGTGGGCTGCTCGGTGGATGTCAGAGTATGTCTCTGTTATATTTTAGTTTTTTAGTAATCCTACTAAAGATAACTTCTTCAAACGACATGATCCAATTACAGTACTGTAGTCAAGATTAAGTAACAATAATAGCTGGAACTTATTAAGCTCCTGCTATGTGCCATGTACTATGCCAAATGCATCACATGTCTCTTATTTAATCTTTTCAAAAGTGAGATGTATAGATGCAAAAACTAAGGCATGGAGAAGTAAAGTAACTTGACCAAATTCACTCAGCTCATAAAAAGCAGAGTCAAGATTTAAACCCAGTTTGTCTGATTCCATAGACTTCAGTTATAATCACTTGGCTATATATCCAGAGTTTACTTAACATGATTCATAAATAATTCTGCCTAAGCTTCAGCCACTATAACTGCCAACTTTTGGTTAGGCATATAGTATAAAGGCAAAAGCTCCTGGAGCCTCATGTCTGGGTCATCTGTTGTATCTCATGTTTAGGAATCAAGTGCAATTTCCATCAAATTAAGTATCCTTCCAGATATTGTTGGTCTTTGCTAATACCAGTTATTTCTGAGCTAGTCTCTCCTCTGCTGGCACTCGTCTCTCCTTTCGTTAAGAAATAAAGAGGGAAGGAATGGTAGTTAGCTAGATTGACAGTTATTTTCCTTACTTTCTTTGAAGCTATTGTTTCATAGGCTCTAATTTATATTGCTGCTGATTAGAAATCTTCTGTCAGACTAATGTTGCTTTTAAAAGATTTGATTTTTTTGTCTTTGATGTTCTGTAGTTTTGCTAACATATGTCTAGGTGTGGATTAGTTTTTATTTATCCTATTCATACGTTGTCGTGCTTCTCATATCGTCTTTTTTCAAAATTTAAGCCATTATCTGTCTTTCCTCATTGCCTCTATCCCTCTCTTTTGAACTTCTATTAGATTTTTGTCTCCTTTATCTGTTAATTGCACTGTCATGCCTTTTATTCTTTATTTCTCCTTGCTGCATTCTGGACGATGTACTCATCTGCCTTCCAATTAACTAAGAATCTCTTCGGCTATGTCTAGTCTGCTTTTTAACAATATCCACTCAGTTTTTCATTTCAAGTAACTATGGTTTTTAATTTCTAGATGTTCTCTCTGGTTCTTTTTCAAGTGTAAAATTTTTTCAGAATGTCCTGACCTTATCGTATCTCTTTTTATTTTAATCATTTTTAACATACTTATTTTATGGTTTCTTTTAGATTGTTCTGTTTTTTTCTAGAGTGGGGATAGTTATCCTATTTGCTGTACATGCTACTCTATTTCATGGAAATGTATCTCCTTGTGTGGTTTGTATTAGTAATTCTTTGAAGATGATCACATCTTCAGCAGGATTTGTTTTCCTCTCCCATGGAAGTCCTATATGCTATGTTGTGAAAGTATCCCTATACAGAGCCTTTCATTTCTGTTGCTGTCAGGGCCCTAGGGATTTCAGATTCTAAGCTCTGAGTTTCCATGCCATCTAGATAATGTAAATTCCTCCAGTATCCAGTTGTAGCATAGGCCTATGTTTTCCATTTCTTGTGGATGTTTTATCTATTCTCTACCAACCTACCTGAGGTTCTTGACAAATAGAAAGTTTTTTCTGCTTTGCTAAGCCTCTGGACAGAGTTTTTCCAACTCTCTGTTTTCACTGACTGGCCAGCTCATCAAGGGTCCAGATTCAAGAAGGGAACTGCACTCTGGTCTTTATCACTCACCCACATATACTCTTACCTTCATAGCTGGAAAACAGATCTGCTATTCCTGGATGGACACTAAGACTCCAGGCACCAACCCCTGAAGCTATATCTGAATCTATGTCAGTTCCCACTTCTCACTCTGATTTTAAATTTCTTCTTCATTTATAGCATCTGGGGGATATTCCTTTCTTTCTCTTAACTTTCTCTTGAGCTAGTCCCCTCTGTATGTCTGTCTCACTCTCTCTCTCTCTTATTTTTGTAACATTTCTATGAGTTTGAAGTAGGAGAGGTCTGTGTCTTTTCATTCTACCATGTTCCTAAATCCAGTGGCAGCTTTATTTAGGTTTGGGAGAACCAACAGCAAGTTCTGGACAAAATGTCTCTTTGGACTTTTCTAGCTGCCCTTCTGTAACAGCACATGATGTATTGAAAAGAAAGACATATTGAAAAGAAACTTAGATTTAAACCCCTACTTCCTGGATCAGTTGCATTTTGCTTCTTAAAGAGTGACTTTATTCAGTTTACCTCTCTGAGGCTTAGTTATATCATCTGCAAAATAGAGGTAAATAATACCTTCTTCATCTAGCCTACAGGTTTGTAGGGAGTAACAGAGAAGCTTAATAGATGCAAAGTTATGATCTTGTACTTTGCAATTTGAAGTTGAACTTCAGTCCAATTTTTCTGCCCCTCCTTTTACCCCTAATCCTCTTTTCTGTCATCTTTTTTCTTGGTTTGTTCCCCCTTGTCTTGTTGAATTAACTGAGCTCTAGTGCAGTGTTGAATAGAAGTGGTACTAATAGGCATCTTTGTTTCATTCTCAAGCTCATGGGAAATTTTCAATATAATGTCATTAAGTAAGGTGTTTGCTATAGCAGTTTTTGTAGGTACATTTGATCAAATTAAAGAAGTTTCCTTCTATTCCTATTTTGATGAGAGTTGATATCATGATTGGATATTGGATTTTATCAATTTTTCATGATAATCCTGATTTTCCTGCTTTATTCTATTACTGTGGTAAATTTATGTTGATTGATTTTTAAATATTAAACCAACCTTATGATCCTGGAAGAACTCCAACTTTGTCTTCTTGTACTAGTCTTTTCATATACCATTAGATTGAGTTTCCTAATATTTTTTTCAGATATTTGCACCTAAATTCATGAGAAAGATTAGCCTGTCGTTTTCTTATAATCTTCTTATGGGGTTTTGGTATTAGGCTTATACTAGCCTTGTAAAGTGAGTTGGGAAGTATTATCTCTGTGTCCATTCTCTGTAGAGTTTAAGATTGGTGTTATTTCTTTCTTAGATAATTAAAACAATTCACAGGTAGACATCTGGAACTAAGGTTTTCTTAATGGGAAGTTTTTAGGTAATATTAAAGAAAACATGAAAATGACTATTTTTTCTTTTGTCAATCACAGCAATTTATGTTTTTGAAAGGATTTGTCCATTTCATACTAAATTGCTCCCCCCAAAATTGTTTTTCTGGCTTCTAATTGTCTTTCAATAAGACAATTGAACCATAAGACTATTATTAAAAATCCTACAGAGGAAATCCCATTTTCATGGGTAATTTCTTGGGTATGAGTAATTTGTGGTTTTTCTATTGTTTTCTTGATCAGTCTTACCAGAAGTCTGTCATAGATTAATTTTTGGCTTTATTGATTTTCTCTCTATGTCTGTTTTGTATTTTATTAATTTCTGCTCTTTAGTATGTCTATACTTTTTTGGGGGGGTTACTTTGCTATCTTTTTTCTAACTCGTTAAAATGAGTAATTTCTTCATTGATTTTTTTTTTCCAGGCTTGCTTTTAGAGCTCTCAGGCTCCACAATTTCAATTTAAGCACAGCTTTAGCTGTATCCCTGAAATTTTATTCATTATCATTTAGTTCAAAATAATCTCTAATTTCCATGATAATTTCTTCTTTGACTCATGGGTTATTTAGAAATGTGCTTCTTAATTCCTAGTATTTGACAGTTTTTATTAACTTTTAATTATTGACTTCTAGCTTACTTTCATTGTGCTTAGAGAATATATGCTGTATGATTTTATCCTTGAAATTTGTTGAGATTTGTTCCATGTCCCACTTTATGGTCAATTTTGGTAAATATTTCAAAAAGAATGCATATTCTATAATTGGGTACAGTATTCTAAATATGTCAATTAGAGCAAGCTTGTTAATCATTTTGTTCAAATCTTCTCATCTCTGCAAGTCTGAATTTGTCTAGTCCTCATTTTAGTTCTGTATTTTTTATTATATATTTAGATGTTATGTTACTAGGTGGGGTATACTAGTAATTGAAGATTGCCTAAACTTTCTGAAGGATTTAACATTTTATTATTGTAATATGTCCCTCTCTGTATCTGTTAATACATTGTGCCTTGAAGTCTATGTTATCTGATATTAAAATAACTAAACCAACGTATTTTTAGTTAGTGTTTGTGTGGATTATCTTATATACATCTTTTAACTTTCATACTTCCTATGTCCTTATGTTCATGGTGTATCTCTTGTAAGCAGGATGTAGCTAAATTTTGTTTTGATGACCAGTCTAACAATCTTAGTTTTAATTTGATTCTTGGGCCTTGCTCCCAGATATTCTGATTCAGAGTTATGTATGATGCACAGGAATCTGCATTTTAAGATCATCTGAGATGATTCTGTACTTTGAGGAACACTAGTTGGGGGTAGAATTGGATTTCCAAGTGGATATAGAAATGGTTAATGAGAGGACTTAGAGCAGAGGGGCAAGACTATCAGATGGTGATAGGAAGCTAGTAGGTATTAACAATAAGACCAGGGAAAGGGGAGGATAGCTGTTGGTCCAGAGCCTCTGAAAAACGCAAGTGTTTTTTTATGTATGGGTAGAGGAATAATGTACTGGAGGTAGTTTTGGAGAGTAAGCAAGGCATTTGCTGTTTTTTAACTCCAAGATAATTAGAATGTTAAAGAATGAACAACATCTCTCTGAGAGGGCATAAGGAGAAGTTGTATCTTAGGGTAGAGGCCGGGATTAGTTAATACAGGTGAGGTTAAGGATGGGATGTAATGGAATTTTGTAACCATGAAGTAACATTCTGGGAGAAAAGTAGAAATATTTGGAGGAAGGAAACAAATGAATGACAAGAGAAGAAGCAAAAGCTTTTTGGAAATAAGAATATGAGAGATACATTAAGGACCCATCATATATGGTAACTGAGGATAACAGGGATCTAAATGTCTTGAGTGTAGCTCGTGGCAAAGTTTCCAAAAGAAACGTTATCTCAGCAGTCCCTGTATATGAAGATGGAGTCTTGATTGTGTCTG